GTAGCTCAAGTGGTAGAGCGCTCGCCTTGAGCTGAAGAGCTGAGGGACAGCGCCCAGGCCCAGAGTTCAAACCCCGCGACTGACCAAAGAAAAAAAGAAGGGAAGAAACTGAGGCCTCGAAAGACACACCCCAGGTCAGTGACAAAACAGAGACCAAGATCAGGATTTCCTGCCTCTCCACCTGCCTCTATCTCAGAGTTGCTAATCTCTTTTCTCCAGCACCAAGATAACCTTTTGGCTCACAAAAGCCACAGGTCTTCAGTCTCCAACTCCATCACTCCTCACTCTATCACTGCCTCTTGTTTTGTGCTGATACTGGGGGCTTGATCTCAGGGCCTGGGTGCTATCCCTTAGCTTTTCCACTCAAAGCTGGTCCTCTATCACTTGAGCCACAGTTCCACTTTAAATTTTTTGGTAGTTAATTGGAGCTAAGAGTCTCACAGACTTTCCTGCCTTGGTTGGCTTTGAACTTCAATCCTCAGATCTCAGCCTCATAAATAGCTAGAGTTACAGGTGTGAGCCACCAGCACCCATTTGTCTTACCCCTTTTAAGAAAGCAGGGCAGCTGAAGCTGGCCACATAGGAAACATAAGCCCAGAATAGAGCTGGAATCCAAAGGGGGAGCCCCGTACATGAAATCAGACACTTAGCATGAACAGAGAATTTTATAAGGGGAAGGATTTCTCACTCTTCCTTGACTAGCTGCTTCTAAACAGAAACATTTCTGAGAGTAGCATTTATGCCTCATTCATTTTTCTTTCTTTCTTTCTTTTTTTTTTTTGTCGGTCCTGGGGCTTGAGCTCTAGGCCTGGGCGCTCTCCCTCAGCTGTTCAGCTCAAGGCTAGCACTCTACCACTTGAGCCACAACGCCACTTCTGGCCTTTTTGTTTATGTGGTGCTCAGGAATCGAACCCAGGGCCTCATGCATGTGAGGCAAGCACTCTACCACTGAGCCACCTTCCCAGCCCCTGCCTCATTCATTTCTGCAGCTTCTACATCTCCCTTTCTAGTCTTGAAGCTTCTGTCTCAAGCTGAGCTTTTAGAGCCTCCTTTGTGCTTAGAGAGGAGGGCCTAGAACCTAACACACTAAACTTCACATGGGGGTGGGTCTGTGTGATCCATAGCAGGTTTGCATTCTACATAATTTTATTTTCAGTACTGAGGATGGAATATTCTATGCAAACTGTCTACCACTGGGCTGGGGATATACCCAGCCATCAGAGCAGATTTGATTCTGGGAAGAAAGTGAACAATATCTATACTCGCATATTACTGCAACCATTAGCAGTCTGGTTGTCAGGTTCTTCAGATAATGAAGTGCAAGACCACCACCATCCCCTAAAACACACAAGATGATGACAAGGGCCCTTGCTGGGTTTCCCCTAACAATCTTCCCCTTGACTCTCAAAGAGACTTTTCTTCCTAGTGGAGGGACTGTTGTTAGACAAGGAGGGATGCAGCCTGGATAATCTTGACACCTTTGGTACCTTTTCTCCCCCTTTGCTTTACTACCTCTACTTCTCTGAAATGCCCATACCTGCGTCCTTGGGCTTCTTCCCAGGACCAGGCCTGCCTAGGTAGCAGTAGGGACTGACCTTTGAGCAGATCTACAAACTGGAATTCAAAGGGAATGTTGTTCTTTTTGGCAAAGATGTAGACGGCTCGGCAGGGTGCAGACAACAGGTCCATGAACAGCTCCATACCCACATTGAAACTCCTGATGGGCCTTACTAACACAGCAGGCGAGTCACAAACCTGAGGCTGTGTCTAGCCTGCGCCTCTGGCCCGGTTGCCCTCTCTGATCTGAGCCCAGGACTGTCCATTCTAGAACTTCTTATTTTCCTTGGTGTTGCCATGAGGCCAGGAAGCCTGGGATTCTCATAGTAGCAGCAAGGATTCTGAGGGGATCTAGGACGGGGAAAGAGCCTTGACTAAAGGCTGGCAGGGGTGGGGTGGGTGGGCTGCTGTGTATTCGTGGGTCACATAGTTCTGTCTCACAAGTACTATCTGAGAAGGAAGGGTTCATACCTGCGCATCCCCAGTGCTAGACCTTCAATGCAGAACATGACAAAAAGAGATTTTCAGTGTCTTTTTAACAAAGTAGTTTGCTTTATTTCTGTTAATCTAGTGAGAATTGTTTTTCTGAAAAGGCCTTCTTTGGTCAGATGGCTTAGCCCTTGTTAATTACATTTTAGTTACATTCTTGCCCTGCTCCACTTTACTTAGGACATACTGTTACAAGTTCCTTGATTTTAGTTACATCCTGTTAATTAAGCCATATCCTTTTGCCCCCTTGAACCTGAGTCCAGCCAATGTGAGCAGAGGACCAGGGCCTCATGGGTTAGAGATAAAAAAGGGAGCAAGCCTGCCTGTTCTGTGTGCTTGCTTGCCAGAGTTTTGGCTGATAATGCACTCTTTTTTAATTTAAATTTAAATTTTATTATTAAGGTAATGTATTTAGGAGTTACAGTTACATAAGTAAGGTAATGAGTGCATTTCTTGTCGAACTTGTTACCCCCTGATAATGTACTCTTCTGTAGAAGTAAACTTTGCTGCCTATGGACCCAGTTATCAAGTCTCCATGAACCTGGGGGAGGGTTCAGAGTCTCTTTTCATTAATATTATTGTTATTATTATTATTTTTTTTGTCAGTCGTGGGGCTTGAACTCTGGCCTGCTGGCTGTCCCT